CACCAACTTGGACAGGATTTGCACCAGAAAATGGGGGAAGGGATGAAGACACCCAGGTTTTTTTTAATAGGAAAAGCTCGTTAACATGCAATTCCCGTCTCCCCGGGATGGAGAAATTAAGCTTGCCCTCTCCGTTCCCCCCCCAAAAAATCCGTGCGGTGGAAGGAAGCGAGCGCACAAACCGTGCTGCTGGCCGCCATCTGGGTCAGGTTAGGACCTCGCAGCCGCCCCAGGCATCTCCCCACAAACTCCGTCCTCCCAACTTCTCGCCCTGGCAGCAGGACTGCGAGGATGCTGAGCAGCGGGAGGAAGGCAGGGTGGAGGAGGGCTGGCCCAGCTCTGCAGCTAGGGCTTGAGGGGGGCAGGGAGCGAGGAGAACTCCAATGAGCCCTCAGCTCTCCCTCCCCACAATGCAGACAAAGAGCAGAGAGCCCAGAATTAAGGGCCCGGGGAATAGGGCCCCGGCCCCGGGCTGTAGGGTGGATGGGGCTGGGGGTCAAGGGGGGTAGAGGGGAGGTCGCCCCCTCTCCCAGCAGCAGCCCTGGGGAAGGGGCTGCCGAAATGCCGACCCCACAGGGCAGCCAGGGGGCGAGCCGGGGTGGGGTGGGTGGGGGGTAAACGGGGCACCCTCGGACCCCCCCCTCGCTGCAGCACCAAGGGGCGAAGCTCCCGGAGCATCCCTTCGGGGCGGCCGCCAGGAGAGGCGGATTTCGGGGAAGGGGATAAGGGATGAGGGAAGGGTTTGGGGGGGGGTCGGGGGGCTACCTCTGCACCTCCCGAGCGCAGGAGAAACCGGGCAAGGAGCTGCGGGAAAATCGCTCTGCGGCAAAACCCCCGCCCGGGCTGCGCGTGTGGTGTGTGTGTGAGGGGGGGGGAGAGAGAAAGAAAGAGAGAGGTGGCAGGTGGCGAGAGCGCGGGGCGACCGCTTCCTAATCCCCAAAATTAAAAATTAGAAAAATTAAAAAATAAATACCCCAAGGCTGCCGAGGACCCCCCCCCCCCCCCCTTCCCCCCACACGCTCCCCTTCGGGCCGGGGAAAGGGGGGGGGGAGTGTGTTGAAGGGGAGGGGGGGGGACGGACTGTGACTTACTGTGGCCGCTGCGCTAGCGAGTCTCCCGCAAGGCGTTGCTGGACTGCGGAGGTGGGGGAGCTGCAGGAGGAACTGCGGTTGTCGCCATCTTGTGCGCTGCCGGCGCGGCCCCCCCCGCGCTGCGCGCTGGGCGCCGGCCCCTCGGCTGCCGCTGAGGGAGCGTGGCCAAAGGCCCGGGGCCCGCCTGGGAACTCCCCGTCCGTTTTTTTTTTTCCTCCCCCACCTTCTCCACATCCACCCCGTCCTCTAAATACACACATAAATGGCGAGGAGGTGGCCCCCGGGGGACATGGGGTGGGCTCGAAGAGGTTGGGGGGTGAGGGGTAGCTCCCCGCTCCCCCTCACAGTCAGGGATCGGTCCCCAGTCCCAGCATCATTCCCTGCTCCCAGCATCTGTCCCCACACCAGGATCATCAGTTCCACTCGCTGCCATCCATGGAAAAAGGAAAACCAACCCCGGAGCCATGCCCGTGCTCGGCTGGCCCCCACAGCCCACCGTGCAAGTGGCCCACGGGCGAAGGCTCAGGTGCGGATGTCTTGGCTAACCCTAATTCTGTTTAGGACGGTGACTTGCTGCAAGTTTAATCTACTCCCCGTGCAGAACTGGCTTTGGAAATAAGGGCAAAAGCCCCACTGCAAGCACAGAGTGGGGCCCATGATGTGTGAAAGATGTCATCATAAGAGGGAAAGTTTGCATCGGCCAAGCATTGTCTTATTGTCTTTTTTTTTCTTTCTTTTTTTTTTTTTTTTTGTGTCTAGACTGTTTGAGGATAAACTAAAACTTCAGCACTTCAGGTGGCCGTGCGTGCCCATCACAGCCCGCATCAGTACGAAGAGCTCATCCCCGGACTTGCAGCCGGTGCAGGGGTTGCACAGATGGAAGCCGGCTCCAGCCCTGCTGAGGGATGGAGTTCTCCAAAATCTGTCGGTGTGAAGGGGATCAGAAAGAGGGGCCTGCTGCTACACTCACTTTGCATTTCGCCCAGCCACAGCTGGGGTGCAAAGAAAGCCCTGAAGCTGCAGGAGGGGTTTTTACTATTTGGAGGAAATCAAAAATTAAAAGGAGGAAGGACAAAAGTGAAAGGGGCGAAGCTGAAGCTCTAGGTCCTGGGTGAGGATAAAACACCTCCGCTGCTCTGTGTTGCTGCAATATCTGCTCATCACGGGAATGGATATCCTGCCTGTCACCAATACAGGAACGTATTGGTGTAATTAAAGCATAGTTTGGGGGGAAAAATATCCTTTGTTAGTCAAACTAATATTTTGAAGACAGACAAGTCTGGATGCACAAAACCTGCAGAAAGAGAGATGATGAAGGGCTTTGGGGTCTAAAAAATTATTTACTTTTCCTATCCATGTTAGCTGACCTAATAGAAGACAGTTTGCACTGAAAACCTCACTGAGGACTACGCTCAGCAGGAAGATTGTACAGAGGACAAAGTGCCAAGCTGCCACCTGTCACATGCCAGCGATATTCTGATCTGTAGGTCTAGGCACTGCACTGCCTTCCCTCTAACTGGGCTGCAAACTCAGGTGAGCTCAGGTGAAAAGCAAGATTTAGCTTTGCTTCCCCAGGAAAACTCGAGCACAACAAAATAAAAAACTGCATCAAGACAAAAAGACGCCTCCTGGCCATGAGAGCTTCTTCTCATCCTGACTTTGAGCACAACAGAGAAGTCTTACAAGAAATACTAATACAGATTACTGTCCTCAGCTACAGCTCCCTCACACATTTCTCTATTTTCCAGGAGAACAGTGAATAAGAGAGTACTAATAATTAACACAAGTTACCCCTTATATGTAGATTTGATGCCTATAATTTAATGTTATAATTATAATTTACGGCTGGATTTTTAGGATCAATTTTTATTATGTTGCTCTTGTTCCCAGTAGGACTATGCCTGTGTTGCAAAAAGAACAACCTGAAACGCTGTATTAGGTTGCTGCTTTAGGAAAAAAAAAAAAAAAATCCACCTTGCAGAAATGTCCTCTTCGCAGAATTTTAAATCTTTGTCCTCTGAGCAGAGCTTTAGGAGTTGTGTGCCGTGTGCTGAGCAGACAAGCTAACAGGACACAGCACTGTGCTGGAGAACTCATTTATCTTGCTTTAGAAATGACACAGGAACTAAATTTGCCCTCACTTTACAACGCTGATTTTTATGGGACTACCCTAGTGTAACACAAGGGCAGACACAACCTAAAAACCATAGATCTCCCAAGCCATAACTAATCAAAAGCAGTTATATATACATTAAATAAGCTGTTACAGAAAGCTACAGATCCTGCGAAAGTTTCAGTTCAAACCGGACCTTCTGTAGCATGTTTCTCACTAAGACTTCAGTTTCCAAACAGAAGCAAAATAAGTGGAAATAAAACCACTGAAATTCAGGGGAAAAGTCTGCGTAGGTAACAGTGCCAGCAGTTTGAAGTGTGCAGCGCTGAGCCCAGGCAAAAGTGCTGGGACAGAAGCGAGCAGGCAGCGATGCAGCTCACCCACACCCGGTCGGAAAGGTGGGAGCTCACCTGGCATCCAAGTAGGGCACCCACGGAGCCGAGGGATGCCGGTGGGCACACGGGTCCCAGCGGGGCGGGCAGCGCACCAGAAATACTTCAAGGACATGCTGGGGCCCCAGGGGTGTTATTACGGTTTGTAAAGACATCTTCGAGCAAGTCGCTTAAAGAAATATATAGGTCAGCGCCCTCAGAGGGTGTAGAGTGATCACACAACAAAACAAAAAGGTCTTAGCTGATACCAGCAGAGCCTACTAGAGTCTATCCCGGAGCTGAGTCCATTGGCCTGAACCAGATTAAAAGGGAATCCTCAGAAAATGAGCATCCTCAGAGTTTATTTCCAAAATCATGCAGCCTGGAAATGTGGATAAATATTGCAGCTCCAGCTAATGGTTGTGCTTGCCTGTAATCAGAAGAGTAAAACAAACAAAAAGCGTAAAACCTTCCCTTGGGTTGGAAGAGAAATGAAACCACGCGGACCTCAGGCAACACAACACAGCTAGGATAATTCTGTAATTCTGGACAGTAACTGCCTGGATCTGCGTTGTCTCTTTAAGGTGCACAATACAAAAATAAATAAATAAAAAATACACTGGATAAGGATACTGCCCTTTCCTTATTTCATCATTACATCCTTCACTTCTCCCTTCCCCTTTTGTGCAGTGATCTCAGAATTGCCCAGTCAGTTCCTAAGGTTTGTGGACAGGGATGTGTCCCATGCATGCCTCTGCAAAGCACCCGGTGTCTGTGCCTCTGTGACAATAACCAGGTGACTGCCTGTCTGTGCTCATAGCAAAAACAGGCAAGCAGAAGCTAAACAAAGTTTAGTCGCCAGAGTGACTATGTAATTTAAACAGGTTGTTATATTTGGATAGCCAAAATATTGCAATAGTCTGGAAGATTTCTACTGTATCATGACTGCAATTCTTTTGTTGCAAAAGCTCTGTCTCACCTACAAGACAAGCCAGGATCTAAAGCCTGCAAGTGTGGGAAGAGGTGGGAGTCACTATTAGAGTGCCCTGCACACCACATCACAGCCGGGAGATGGTCAGACGTACAATGAGACAGCAGTCCACAAACCTAAGAGGCAAAACACACATGAGGTTTCAGATCAGCCGCTTCTGCCAGACAGCAGGCTCGAAGCAGGCAGGATCTGAGCTTTCAGACTGAACACAGTTAAATGTTTAAGTAGGTCCTTAGCACACAAGCAGTGCCTTCAGAGCTACTTGTCCAGTTACACGTACAGCCTCTCGCGTTTGCTAGGCGAAGCAGAAATGCTCAGACACCCCCCTCCCTTCTCAGATGTTTCCAGCAGTTTTGTAAGACAGCAGTGCTGCCGCTTTAAGCCAGATTTTGGAGTGTGGCCAGCCAGGCAGATATATCCGGTTCAGAGGTAGCTCTGACAGCAGGAAAAGCTTCAGGCAGAGCGTGCTGAGCTCCCTGCACGCCCGCTTGCACGCGCAGCTCCGCACAGATGGTGCTCGCCTCCCTTCTGCAGAGCTGCGTCTGGCTCCTCGTCCTGCCTGCGCACGTATTCACCTACCTGGGCTTGTGGGACTCCTTCTATAAGAAAGTTTTTCCGTATATCATGGCTAAGATGGCACCAGCCTACAACCATAAAGTCTGCAAGCAGAAGCAAGCCCTGTTCAGCAACCTGCGAACATTTGCAGGCCCTTCGGGCCAGCTCACCTTGCTGGAAATCGGCACGGGCACCGGCACCAATTTCCAGTTCTACCCACCAGGCTGCCGGCTCACCTGCACCGACCCCAATCCCAATTTCAGCAAGTTCCTCCTCAAGAGCCTCTCGGAGAACCAGCACCTCAAGCTCGAGCGGTCGGTGGTTGCCTCTGGTGAGGACCTGCATCAGATTCCAGACGGCAGCATGGACGTGGTGGTGAGCACCCTGGTGCTGTGCTCCGTCGGCAGCGTCCAGAAGGTCCTGGCCGAGGTTCTGCGGGTGCTCAGGCGGGTAAGCGAGGGAAAAAAGGGTGATTTGTGTCCTACACGTGGGCCCCCTGTGCTAGTCCACGTGTGGGATAAATGGAACCGCCTGCACGAGGGCCAGGATGAGTTTAAAAGCAGCCTTCACTTTTTTTCAGCCCCCAGGGAGATGGGCTTGGCCGCTCCTTCCCCCTCAGCAGGCAGTTTTGGTTAAACACACGTGCAGTGACAACGCTGCAACCTCTGCTGACTGATGAAAGTTTACAGCCTAAAAAACAACTGCTCCCTCCAAAAATTCAAGCACTAATAAAACAACAAGCAATAATAAAAATAACAAAAGCCCTAAACACTGTAGTCATATTTAAATATTTATTTTAAATCCAAATTCACATTAATTTTGTATAAGCCACTTCATGATTCATTAGAAAACTTCCAAACCTAAATGGAAGGAATGGCAATCTCGTCCTTATCAAAAGGACCTTTGTTCCTAAATCTTTTCAAGTTATCAGGACCGAGAACCCAAATAAAGTCAGAAACTGGATGTTGGCACCGAGATCATTTTAATATTTTGGAAAATGCGTCCTTGGTTCATGTTGACTGTTTGTAAGACAAGCAATAAGCATTTCTTCTTTAGTCCAAAGATTTCAGACCACACTGCATGCATAGGGCAAAAGATTGTCCTGGAACTGGCATTGCTCTGATCTGGTGTGCGAGCGCCATTTCCCCAAAAATGAACAATCCCATTCCTATTCTGCAGGTTGCAGAGGAACCATGGTTAGAGTCCAACAGGTTGAACCCTTACCATCCCTCGCAATTCTAGGTCAATGAAAATTAAAAATAGGCCAACGCTTACAACCCATCATTGAGCAGATGCCACACAGAGCAGACTGGGCAGAAATGCAGCGTGCCTGGTTTCTGCATCCACCTGCCCTCTTGTCATACGTGGTCCATTTAAAAGGGCACCAGCTCCAGGGCCCTCCCTAACTGCTGCTGTTGAAATGTCTGACAACAGTACAGCTGAAATGGTAACAAAACCTGCCTCAACAACTGCTGGGAAGTGTCTAACCGGGGGGATCCTCTTGCATCTCAACAGTGTTGGAAGAGTCATCTGCAGAAACATCCACCATGCACAGAGGGAGAAGCAGGCACAGCTCACAGGGAATGGACTTTTAGGCGGAGGAGGAAGCGCTCTCGTGTCTGATTTCCCTTCTGCCAAATCCTCTTTCTTTTTCTAGCCTGTAACTTGACACATGACAATGCCTACAAGTTTCTTTACATTACTGTGCTGGAAAGATCTCCAGACCTTTCTGGGATCACAAGAGAAGCTGCCCATCCCCTGTCCTGTAACATTCAGACACAACACAAGCAAAGTTGTGCTTCTGGCGTCCACAGCTCCTACTCCTAAATACTTTCTGGTGGTGTTGCTTCACCTGCAGATGAAAGAACTCGCTCAGCCTGCTTTACCTCTCCCTCCTCAGCACGGCTGATGTGCTGCCAGGCAGGCAGAAGGCTGGGAACACCTGCAGGCAGTGCTGATCGCCCCGGCAATTTTACAGATGAGAGAAACTGAAGCACAAGGATGTTAAAGTGGTTACTCTGAGATCATCCAAGGCAGTTGTGACAGAGATAATAACCCCGTGGCAGCAGTTCCTAGCCACCAGATCATACAGCTTCCTGCACAGCTCTAAGCTGCACCCATCAGTAAACTTGTAGTCAGTCCATCATAGCCACCACTTTCAATAAAAGCTGAATGGGAGGCAGTCTTACAGACCACACAGCCCAAAACGAATCCAAATCTTGCACGCATAACATCTAGGAAAGGGCTTGGTGTTCAGAGAGGTGATAAAAAGCAGTGTACTTATCAACATGGAAAAAAATAAATTCTACTTATGAAGGTGAAAAGCCCTAAGTCCTTTCTGATGGCACTGTTTTGCAGGGTGGAGCTTTCTACTTCTTGGAGCATGTGGCTGCAGATCATTCCAGCTGGACCTACTTTTGGCAAAAGGTCTTTGACCCACTCTGGAAATGTTTTGGCGATGGGTGTTCCTTGAGCAGAGAGACACAGAAGGAACTGGAGAAAACTAATTTCTCAGAACTGAATTTAAAGCGCATTTCTGTCACACCTCACTGGATCCCTTCTAGTCCTCATATCATTGGGTATGCAGTAAAATAAGGACTGTGAGCGCTGCAGGGCACGGGACCTCTCTTCAGCACTCCTTCCTTGCTTTAAATGAGGTTTTTCACCAGATAGCACCCTTACAGCCAACCAGCAGCTAGAAAGAAGAAAAACACGGAAAACAGTGAGCATCCACAGCTCATTCAAACCGGGAGTCGCTCTCCTTTTGTTAGGCAGGCTTTCTGGGTAAAGTTCTTAAATAGAGCTGTCACAGAAGGACCTGGCAAACTGGAAAGAAGAATAGACAACAAAATTCAGACCAATACAAAATAAAGAGTCAGCATCTTAGAGAGCTGAGAAAGGAGAGAGCGAAGAAAGGGAACAGAAAATACATGCAAGCAAGAACAGGCAGCTAACGCTTCCTAATGGTGGAGAATAATGCCCAACCGTTCACATTTCCAATACAGGACACATACATAATAGATACAGCATCAGTATGAGCATTTTCATTTCAAGCTTCCTATTATGAACTACCTTTAGGAGCTTCATTCACCCATGCCGGTACAAGTCCTCCCTGACAGGAGTTGTGTTTATTCAGGGAAGTGCTCATTAGAGCACCACTTCGCCATACAGAGTTCTCACTGGCCATTAAATGCTAATGTTATCAGTGAGGATTTAACTCGAAACAGCAACCCGGGAAGCCAAAAACTGTTCTTACAGGATATCTTTTATCTGACGGGATAAAATAGTTTTTTTTTTGTTAAATCTGGTGGCAGAAACCTCATCTCCACTGTAAAATGCTCTCTGTTACTAGGGCAGCTGTGTCCTCAGAGCCCGTTGGTCACACTCTGCTAATGTGTTTCACCTGTGCTTAAACTCCTCACTTTTTACTCTTCCCAGGAGCTAGATCACACCTGTAAGATGTCTTTTTTTAAAAGCCATGAGTTTTATTAGAAATGTTTTCCAGTTAAACTCCTCTAGGACACCAGGATAAGGTGCTGCCTTCTTGGCCACTGTTGAGTCTTTTCTACGATTTCCTACAGTATAGCAGCAAAGAATTAAAGCCCAGCACAGATTATATTTATAATGCACTTCTTGACTCTATTTTGTGCTTCACACGCTTCCAGGTGCTCTATGCAGAAAGCACATCTGAAGTAATCCCATTGTTCAGGTTCATTTCTCTGATGTAATTACCACAAGGTAGAGGAATGAAGGTATGACAACAGAGTTCGTTAATAAAGCAGTCTAATAATGATGCCATTGTATACTGGACTTCATATTTGCTTTATTACCACTAGAGGGAGGAGGTAACTCGTCGAACAGGGCTACCTATCACTTCACAGAAAAACAACATTCTCCAGCACAGTTCACACCCGAACTGCCTGACTGAAGGACCTGAAGTTGAGAGGTACAAACAGTCCTCCTTTTCCATCGCTGGGCTCACCTGAAGCAGAGCAATTAAAAGCTAGGGGCTAATTACCCTGCTACCAAGTCCTGTGGAAAAAGTACTGGTGATTGCACAGTTGAAAAAGTTTTACAGAATGCATTTAGCATAAAACAGACCATGTGTTGTTGACTCAGGCTTACAAAGTTAATAAAACCAAGCTACATACTGCATGTAGTGATTACTGAATTAATTGCTTTCTATCAGAGCTCTGAAAGGTAACTAAGAAAAGCAAGATAATTTCCTGCAAAGGAGCCAAATTCACATGCTGAAGTATTTTGGTGCCCACGAAGTTGGAAGACTGAAAGAGCTCAGATCAGGTAGCCGACTAGTTGATCCAGCTTCTTTAGCTACCTACACTGGGGTGGTAAATAATTCAGAAATAAATGTATCTCTACTGAAATGTTAATCAAACACCCAACCAGACACCTGTCTACAGCATATCCAGCATTCAAATTAACTTCTTTCTGTTCCCCGAAGACAACATACGTTTGCTTTAAGAGATATGAACTGTAATCTGAAACTGAACACCACATTAGGGCATTTTATGACATTTTGCCAAGGGTTAGATACAAGGTTGTACTGCCCAATTTATCGAGGTTACTTAACAAACTGGCAGCTCTTTTTCTTGCCAGAGCTGGGACACTACCCTAACTGTTTGGTATGCAGTCCTGTTTTTCCCTCCCCTGCCTGTGAGCAGACTTTAAAATCAGCTCGAGAAACAAGTCTACCAGGTCAATCCAAGGAGCTGAATACGCTTCAAGAGGAACACAGCAAGTACATGAACGCAGCTCTGTCCGAGTTTCAAGGGCTCTAGCACACGGAAGAAACTAGCTTTGCTCCGTACGGATCCTCTGCCCTCACGACAGCAATGACAGAAGCCAGCATCCTCTTCTTCCGCACCTGCCTTGCGCTGCTTGCTATGCCCATCTACATCCTATCATTCCTGGGCATATGGGAGCCCTTCTGTAAGAAGATATTTTTTCCTTTCTTCTTAGAGAAGCTCACTACAATTCACAACAGGAAAACAAAGAAGCAGAAGCAGGAGCTATTTCGAAATCTCCCTGACTTTGCCGGCCCCTCAGGAGAGCTGAAGCTGCTGGAGATTGGAACTGGTTGTGGTGCTAACTTCCAGTTCTACCCACCAGGCTGCAGAGTCACATGCACCGACATAAACCCCAACTTCCAGCAAGGCCTTTCGAGAAGCATGAGCCAGAACCAGCACATCCACTATGAGCGCTTCCTCGTAGCAGCTGGAGAAGACCTGCACCAGGTGCCCAGTGGTTCCGTGGATGCCGTCGTCTGCACCTTAGTCCTCTGCTCAGTGCAGAGCGTGAACGGCACCTTGAAGGAAGTAATGCGAGTGCTCAAACCAGTGAGTATTTGAAGAAAAACTTTCATGTTATTACCTTTATGATCTATTCCAGAGGTGCTTCACCAAATATATATATATATGTATTATTTTTTTTTAAGCTTGCAGACCAGACCCAGTTTATAAGTTAAATGAGATTTAAATGGAGCAAAGCAGTAGCAACAGACTAGTCAGTCTGTTCTATTCTCAAAAGTAAAACCCTAAAAGTTACAATCTACATACCTAGATCTGCTACAAAATTAATAATTGCAGCTGATATGCATTTAAAGCAGAACCTGCTGTTTTTGTTGTCCCTCCCCCAAACACCTCGTTTTCTTTTGGTGAAGAGCTTTCTGATCAAGACTGAAAGTCTGTTTTAAATAAATTGCCTTTGCCTCTTAGAAGAAGGGCTGATCTACCTGTATGACTAAACCAATCTGATTAAATGCCCTCATTCCTTGTAGGGTATCAGTCAAATTGAAAAACAAAAGAAAGAGAGCTAGGTTGTTCAGTTTTTTTTGCAATAACAGTTCAGTCCTTAAAATGGTATTTTCAAGCCCAATCCTCTGGGTTGTCAAAACCCAGTGAGTTCTAGTAGGATTTATACATGTCTCTCAGTCTTCTTTGGAAAAAAAAAAAAAACAAACAAAAAAACATGCTAGCAACTGTAATTTGAACAAAATGGTAACTATTGCTGCAATAATAGAGGGACCAAATAAATGCATCCTGCATGCTTCTGAATCTGTGCAAGTTTCCCACTTATATTAATTCCAACTGGCATCAGAAAAGCAAAAGGAGGGGAGGGAGAATACTGTGGGGCGAGCAAATGGAGCTTCACGCGCACTGGTGGGTACTGAGCGATGGCAGGCCGCCTGGCTCTGCTGTGTGCACTCTTTCTACAGCGCTAAGACGACTTTGTTTTCCCCAGGGAGGCGTTTTCTATTTCTTAGAGCACGTGGCCGATGATCATTCCAGCTGGAGGTATTTTTGGCAGCAAGTCTGCTATCCAACTTGGAAACTCGTGTTTGATGGTTGCTGCCTAACAAGAGAGATATGGAAAAATCTCGAACAGGCCAACTTCTCAGAACTGAAATTACAACACATCAGTGTACCGCTGCCCGGGACGCCTATTAAGCCTCACATCATCGGATACGCTGTGAAGTAACACAGATCGCACCATAAAGCTTCTTCCCCTGGCCCCACAGAAACGCCTCAGCATAATCAAAGCGCACAAAACAGCATATGCTAATCCTGACATATGAATGTAGGTAACGTGGCTAAGGACTTTAATTAAACTTCTGATTCAGACATCAAATGAGAGAAGAGAGTCAGTTTTCTAAACATCTTTAAACTAAAACCACTGTGCTGGGTATACACGAAAGCTTCGCACGGTGCCTTACTGGCTGTGGGGCAGCCCCGGCAGCACACTGGGCACCTCCACATTGCTTCCAGACCTGCCTGGGGCCACTTCGAAACAAAGGTGGCAAGGCAACAGAACACAAGAGTTCGGCAGACAAAATAAATATATTAACTCCTTACTTGAGGGAACTTCTGCCCGTACCTCTCTGGCAAGCAGTTCCTTCAGGTATTCGCAAGCATATTTTGCCACGAGGACAGGGCAGGCCTCCATGCTGAGGGCACTCCTGGCACCCGCTCTCCTTTCCCTGGGCTGTTCACAGCTGTTTGTTCTCCAGCCTTACGAAACCAGCAGGCAGAGGCAACCTCTAACACATAAACTTTGCTCAGCTGCAAGTTATTTATTCACCAGGGGCAGAGTGCTGGGAGGGAGGAGGAGGCTGTCTCCCCATGTAACACACAAAGCCTCTCACTCACTTGGCTGCCCACCTGCCCCCGCACTTGGTTCTAACAACATTCACCAGCATTAAAAGAGTCATAATTAACGTTTTGTGCTTGGGAAGTTTCTTTACGGTGTCCCCAGTGCACCACAGCCCGGGTGGGAGGTGTTGCTGCCTCAGAGCCGGTGGCGGCCGTTGGCAGCTCTAACGCGCACCGGGCCCCGCCGCCATTTTGTGCCCTTGACTGAGAATGAGGCAGAAGTTGGCCACCGCCTCGCTGCTCCTGCTGCTGGTGGGCACTGTGCCCGCTGTGGTGGCCCCGCAGACCCTCTGGGACGGTACTGGTGGTATGCCTGGGTGCTGGGTCAGTGCGGTGGGTGTTGAGATGGCTGCGGTGAGTGGTTTAAGTACCTGAAAGGGCATGGAGGGGGGGGAGGCGGTAGTGCCCCATTACTGCGTGGCTTCTTCCCACAGCTTCACACAGAAAAACTTCATCTATCCATAAAGGTGATGAATTCACAAAGCTGAAGCGACTGGAACCCACTTACGTTGACGTGCACAAACACAAATGCAAGAAATATGCCTGTAACCAAATAAAATACCTTTCACAGGGCCTAAGGAAATATCCACATTTTCTCTCAAGAATCAGAGCTCTAGCAGGAAACATTAAAAGTCACAGCTAGTAACACTGTAGATACAAAAAACCACCCGTGGCTAGCTCACCAAAAGCTCTGTTTTTCTGTGTGAGCCTTATAACTAACTCTGTTCTGTTTTGTAGAGTGTGGGGAGCGGCCGCTCATAGATAAGACCTCAGGATCCCGGATTGTAGGTGGACACGACGCCGAGGTTGGAGCATGGCCGTGGTCAGTCAGCCTCCAGATTCACCACGTTGGTGCAAAATTTGCACATATATGCGGTGGAACTTTAGTTAGTGAGAATTCAGTGGTTACTGCTGGCCACTGCACTACAGGACGGAAGTAGGTATTCATGCCAATAGATGGTTTTATTAAGTATGAGGAAAGCATAGCATCACCTTTGGTATCTTCAAACAGAATGTAAATCAGTGGGACACAGGAATGCTGAGCTCCCCCAGTACAAAACCAGTACAGAGACTCTGAAATGCACTTCTGGCTTGGTCCAGAACAGCCTTTGTTTTTGCTAAAGGGCCAGTTGGTTTTGATCTAGGTGACATTTTCGTTAGGGAACTTATTTTTTCTTTCCCCCCCCAGGAGTTTCCAATCTTTCTGCTTAATAGAGCATTTTAAACAAGTAAAGCTCACTGCAAAACAAACAAACAAACAAACAAAAAAACACACACAAAAAAACCTGCAATACTTAAATTAGAAACATTACAATTCATTAGTTTTGATACTGCTTCCATTTTTTTTTTGTTTAACAGAACCAACAAAATTGGCACTTTACGTTTCTTTGACAATGGGGTAATAAAACTCTTCAAAAGAGGCTTTTTAATTGTACTTACAGCAGTTCTGTATTGCAACTATTTGATCACTGTTTGCTTTTCTGTAGTCTTTAAAATAGTTGCAAAATCTGCACACTAGTTCCTGCAAGTTCATATTGATTGCGTTCTTTCTTAGGGACCCATATTTTTGGAGAGCTGTGTTGGGCACACATAACCTTTGGAAACATGGCAAACATGCAGCAAGAAGAAGTATTAGAAGCATAATTGTGCACCCAGAATTCGACAGAGAAACATTTGAAAATGATATTGCATTATTTCACCTTAATTCTGCTGTACGCTACAGTTACTACATTCAGCCTATCTGCTTACCTTCTGCACACCTTTACCTGTATATTGGCCAGGAAACAGAGTGCTTTATAAGTGGTTGGGGACGTATAGCAGAAAAAGGTAAAAGTTTGCTTGTTTTGTTGAACCAGTTATTAGCTGCATGACTCCCATTAGGTTTCAGTCCCTCCGATTCACTGAGAGAGAACTGAATCCATTCAGGTTGTAGTCTCATCACACAAAGTCATTAAATACTTCTGTAATTGACTATCTGCTTTCAGTGTTTTTTACGTTGAAAGCAGATTAGAACTACAGAGATGTCATCAAAGGCATAAATATTTAGCCTTTCTTTCATGGATAATATGAAAAAAGGAAAACAAACTATCCCAACTTTCAGACTCACAGTAGTTACTCAATGTTGTCTGCACGAATAACTATTTTTTATTGAAAATATTTATAGTGCATTATCAGCTTAGGAGTCCCAACACATTTTAGGTGTGGCTGCTCTCCCTCAAATTATCTTTAATCTCTATAAGCACAGACTTCATACAGTGTCAGTTGGCGGCGTGCATCTTGAATGGAAATTTCAAGGACAGCCGAGGATGATACAAGCTTATTTAGTAAGTCACCTCTGGCATTTTGAGCAAGGCTAATGAGCAGTACTGTTATCATCTATGCTTCTTCAGAATAAGAACTGCAAAAATTACATCAAATCCAAGTCAGCAAATGCTTAGCCCACTTAAGTTTAAATCCATTAGAAACAGGCACAATCTCTAGATTAGCACGTGTTGGAGCATGTACAGGAGCACGTTTAAGGTAAAAAAAAAAAAACAGGAAAAAGATGTCACAGTAAGAATGACTATGCACAACAGCATAAATGTTTGACTTTCTATATGCTGTCTTCCATTAAAGGTAAAACTCCATCTGTATTACAAGAAGCACAAGTGGAAATCATTCCTCATAGTGCATGTAACAATTCTGATGCATATGGAGGCATGATTAACAACAACATGATTTGTGCTGGCTCTCCATTGGGAGGCATTGATAGCTGTCAGGTAAGAATCAACACCATGCCCAATGTGCCACCACTAAGCCAGAGTCTCAGGGGTATCGCGATGCATTTGTAGCATAATTCATTAAAATGGCACAAATACTAAAGGAAAAATACATCAAATGGGAAAAGAAGCATCATAAATAGACAGAGAGGTGATTCAAAAAGGAACACCCATTGCTGAAAAATACACAAAGACTTCAGTGTTACTCAGCAAAAGAAAAGAACAAGTTAACAGAACTGAAAGGACAAAGAACACAAATGCAGTACGTATGTTATCGCTGTACACATGCAGTGTGTGTGAAGTACACATACATCTTGCTTGGTTTTATGCTGTTGAAAGACAGCACTGATACTGAAAAGTGACATGGTTCAGTGGCAAGATTTTTATTTAAATGCTGAGCAATCAACATCTCTTTCTCAGAAAAGACAATTCTCAGGTCAAAAGCCCCAGGATGCTAAAGTTGGGGCATCAGCTGTGATATGGAGACATTTATAATTAAATAAGTATATTCATAAGTGTATCATTAGTCTGATACACTTCCTGCTTTCCTCAGCACTTTTCCTCTAAGCAAGTAATTTGGCAAAAATTCAATGTTGTGTATTCATTACTATGTTTCTTGGTAATTGCAATACTACACTGTACAGACAATACATTCTGGTAACAACGGACATGTAAGAAAGTTTATGGAGATAAGCCTTAGAATGAAAAAGGTACCAAAAAAAAAAAAAGAATTAAGAAACAAATAACAACAAAGAACAAAAAAAAAAAATCCACAGAACTTTACTTAGACAGTGAAACTAATATAGACATGTTTTTTTAGTCAAGGTAGTGTCCCTCAGTATCACAGATCTTTATTTTAATTGGCCTGTGTACTACTATCCATATATTACTGTCTTTATTACTGTCTAGGTAACTTGGCAGATTTTTAAAATGTAATTTTAAAAAGTGGATACATCACTAACATTTCTACATTGGTTTCTGGAAGGGAATGTATGTCACTAGTCTTTTATATTATTTATTTATAGGGAGACAGCGGTGGACCTTTAGTATGCTATCACCCTGGTGACAACAAATTCTATCTACTAGGGGTTACTAGCTTTGGATATGGCTGTGGCCGACAAAATTACCCTGGGGTCTACGTCTGTGTACCTCACTACAGAAGGTGGATAAGCTCTCAACTTCTCCTGAATGGCAAGGCTGGGAATCCTGTGAGCATTACGCTTATGATTTTTCTGACTGTCAGATGTATAGTGTTCATGTAGACTTTCTAAAGTCTACAAACCACCGCATCATCATAGTACAGATTTGGTCTGCCTGTTAAAACTTGGCAAAGAGGAGCTAACTCATGTTTCGGAATAAATCTCTGAGCAAAAATACATATATATATATATTTTTTAAAGAAGGCATGTTTTTATCCAATCTGCATGGGTACAAAACCTTAAAAGCACACTTTGCAGGTGTATTATTTCTTGTAAATGTAGGAACTAAAGCAAAGCACATGCAATAGTTAACATATACGTTCATTAGGATTTTCTAGGAATGTAAGGTTTCAAACTGTGATATCCCCCATCGTTTTTGAGGTATGAAGCGTATTACATGTGTATTGTTGCTCTGAATTGCAAGATCTTAGCATTCTTACAATATGTGATCTCATCAAGTTTTTTTTTCTTGTTAAAAACTACTTTGATAGACATGTATGAAGACAAAGTAACATAATAGTTTTAGGCTATAAGCATGAAATCTAGCTAATTAAAAATGTTTACCAGTACTTCCAAGTATGTGTCCTAAAAGTTTGTAATTTTATCATCATCTTTTCTGTCTTCTGTCTTTAATACCCATGCTGACAAGTAGAGGGAATGATAGCAGCCTTGACCCTAATAATGGAAATGAATATTGAAATGTTACTTACTGAAAATATTTGTTCTTACCCTATTTCTAGCTTTCAGAAGCTCGTGTGTTACTTAATACTACTGCTACAATTTTGTAGATGGCAGAGATACTCCCTCTGCTGGGTGAATATTAGTAGAACACAATGCTCTTAACAGAGCCTTAACTTTAACAAGAAAAAAAAAAAAAGCAGAAACATAAAAGATATTCTCCATTACTTGTTTTTAGTGATGTAGTAGTTTGGCTGCTGGAAGGATACATCAGGGAGAAAAATCTCTCGATGCCGTTCCATAGACCAAATACTTTATTTTTGGTCACGGTAAAGAGCTGGTACTACACAACATAGGGATTTGGTCAGAACTACTGCAGTTGTATGTTAATTAAAAATAAATTGATCAATAAATAAGGAACATCAGCATTAGATTTTGGCGACTTTATTTACCAAGGTCAAAATCTGCAACCATCTAATTGTTTTGACAAATATTTACAATTCATATAAAGCATGTACTTTCGTTTGGAAATAATCAGCAGAACAGTACTTGGTACTACACCTCTTACTCTCAGGATATAGATTTTATTCTCTTACCATCTAGATTTTGAATTAAGTCCAAAATAAGCACTTCATGATAAGTGATGACTTAAAGAGCAAACCCATGTTACTGTTTAATATTTCCATGATGAAAAATAAGCTGCTCTTCCCAAACACTATTTTAAGAGGATAAAAATTTACTAACGTTATGTCTGGCAGCACTACATAGTTGTTTCACTTGCTGAATACAGAAAGAATTGGCCACCATATTTTATACAGTCTTAACACTTGATAGCTTTTTTTATTATTATTCTGTATTACAAAAGAAGGTAAAGGAACAACAGCACACAGTGAGGATCAAAATACCATACAGAGGAGTTATCAAATTAGTTTCAGTACTGTAGGTCAAACCCTCTTAAACATATGCCAAATAGCGTACACACACCTGATGGCAGACAGCAAAAAAGTCCAATTTTCTGAGGTGCTAAGCACATCCCATGGTGTTCATTTTTCCTGAAATTCCACTGACAGAGAGGAGGAGGCACCGAGCACCTCTTTCAGAGCAGTTTACTAATGGAAGGACTTTCTCAACCTTGCTCGTTATTTTTGATGTGAAACAAAAGCATTTTTTTGTTTTTTGACGTGATTGAGAACACAAATATATTCTCCAGTTTGGCCTAAAGGAAACGTATTGTGGATGATGTCCGTAACAATGTTATATTTATAAACTTTAGGAAAAAAAAATATAGCCTACTAACAACGTGATTGTGGAATGCAGTCTTTCTCATACCATTTGCAAAGAGCTCTGCTTGCTAAGAAGCCCATTAATTCAAAAATGAGTAAAATAAAAAATACTGACTGACCATATGATAAGCAGTACACATCTAGGGAGTGAGTACATCTTTTAATTTCATTCAGATCTGAGCTAGCACAACACACACACATAGCTCTAACACCTTTTTAATAGCATAGTCCATAGTGCAATTCCCGCTGACATAACTGGAAGCAGGATTCAATCCTAACTATGGAAATAGTGTATTTATTATTCATGCAATAAGCACTGCATACACATTTTTCTATTTCACAGAATCACAGGATCACAGAATGGCTGAGGTTGGAAGGGACCTCTGGAGGTCATCTGGTCCAACCCCCCCTGCTCAAGCAGGGTCACCTAGAGCCGGATGCCCAGGACCATGTCCCAGAGGGCTTTTGAACACCCCCACAAATGGAGGTTCCACACCCAAAAGAGTCCCGATCATGTCAAACATTTAACTTTCACCTGAAACAAATCAAAATGATAAAAACTAGAATCTCTGAGCAATCAGATCTAATATGCAGATATCATCAACCGGGGTGGGGGGAAGCCCTGATCTCTTTTTTTCCCAATACTTGTTAAGATTCATTTTTTGTAAGTTGCCTACAGACATACAAAATTAATTCAAATATCTCCTACACCAAAGAGGATCTCATTTGACTTTGTACTATCCATAAAAATATATGCTTGAAAATCTGGTTCACAAAATATTTCATTTGTTTACTAAAATGAAATATATAAACTGTCAAAATACGTATATAAACTCAATTTCAGAATTTGTAAAGATCACAATTTAGCTACAAAATATACCAACCATCTACCTGTTTTCAATAGAGTATTTTCTTACAAAGATACCATTACTTTGCAAAATATCGCTTACCTTACAAAATTAGTCTGGAAATTTTGCACTACTTTCAGCATACAAACCACATATTAGAACCCCATTAAACCCTTTGGTATATATCTTCAATTTTTTTCTTTTATCGTTCTTCTATTTGGTTTAAATGTTCCAAAGCACAGTAGAATCTCCAGACAGAATAAGCAGTGCATGTTTCATTGTATATATAATCAGCACACAATTTATTTTTCAATTATAGATGTTTATCATGCCCAGCAACTAAGAACGAACTACTGTAAAATCATTCTCCAGAAACTTTCGTTCACCATTACTCATTCTACAAAACTGTACTTTAAAATAATTGGATGTGTTGAATTCTCTTAAGTCAGCACCTTACTTAATGTGCCTCAGACATTTTCAGGACTAGGCCTCTCACTGCTTTCTGCAGATCCTTTCCAAATTTGATAAACACAGCAAACATTGGAAAAACAAAACAAAACAAAAAACTTTTAAACTGTCAGCTGAAAAAGAGTAAACATAATTTATACCTCTAGCAAAGTATTAGCTTTTTTATCATCTGCACCTGTAAATAACAACTTACAGGTTAAAATAAAAATATTTACATACAAGTAACTGAAAGGAAAAGTAAGGATTGAAAAAGAGTAAGAAATCAAAACATATACTGGTTATAAATGTTACTAATAATGTTAACTATGGCAAGGATTCCATTTCATCCACATTTTAATTGTTACCAAATATTGCCCCCATTACAAGAGGTATTTGCAGAAGTTTTCAAAGAAATTCTAATCACCTGCCTGGTAAAACATGAATGTCCTTTATTGTAGATGCAATCTCGACTTTATAAAGTTTCCAGTTGTGCCAGCAGGAATTTTGGTGAGGTTTTCTTGTTTCCTTTTTGTACTTTGTCACCAACTTGTTGTAAATAAAATCTATATAGTCTTTAAGTTGTGAAATCTAGGTAGAAAAGTTTCATTTTTGACCTTTCATCTAGTTTAAAAAATTCAGTATAAAAAAAAATTCTCCTCTGAAATTTACAGTCCACAAAAGTTTTACCTTCTTTTCTTACACACTTTTATGACAGTAAAGATCTTTCAAAGTTTTTAGCTCTTCAATTAGAGTCTTGTTCTGGTTTTCCAGGACCGCAACTCGATTTTCCAGACATTTAACATACTCTTTCTTCTTTCTACGGCATTCTCGAGCAGCTTCTCTGGAACAAACCAACAGAAAAAATTGTTTATTTTATATCAGAGATTTCTCTGTTTTACAATGTTACGGTACTGACCAATACAAGAGGAGAGAATTGGCACTGCAAGCAGGAACAAAAAGTGAAGTCTACACAAATTTAGGCGGAGAGCAGGAAATTTAGTAGTATTTGGTAGCAGGCATGGTAACCATTCTGCAGTGGAGAAAATAGCGTTCTCCAAATTGTGTAGGACAGAACATGCAGCATGTTTTGAACAAAAATTTCCGATGTTTTTAGTCACTGGATGCAGCATACCATACCAATGGCACAATCAGCAACACCAGCTTGCAAGACTGATAGTTTGTCCTTTGAAGATGTATTTCAGCACATGAAGCCAACAAGTCAAAGCAGCCCAAGTGCACTTACATACCTGTTCTTCATCAGCCTTATTTCTCGTTTCAACTGCGGATCGTCCGTCTTACTTGTCTGTGACGTGAGAGTGACAGGAGATGTCATAACCACAGTCTGAGGAAGGGACGTGGTTGTTGGTGTGGTGCGGATCTGGTACGTCTGCATGTCTCCTGATGCAGCTGTTGTGGTAACATTGTGAGACGTCAAAATGTAGCAGCATTAGAAAAATGCATTTGCGTTACAGATCAGTATTTCTAACCATTTCCAGAAGGCATACTCACTCTGCACTACCACCTGGTTGCTGGGTACAAGTATCTGTTGGCCATCTGATGTTTGTGCATACTGCAGTATTGTTGTCCCAGGCTGACTACCACCAGCATTTGTCATTGTTAACGTCTGCAGACCTTGCACACCATCTGTACCGGGGCTGGCCAGCTGTAATCCATTTGCAGCAATGGCAACTTAAAGAAAAAGGAACATGCATGAAAATATTTGTAGTTGTAAATCAAAAAATACAGATAAAGGTAAATCTGTAGGGTGTACATCTCTTTCAATTGGCAAATCTGTATCTCAACCTGCTGCTGAAAAATATTCCCAATTTTGAAAGGCTTTTTTCTTTGTTGCTGTCCTTACTAAACGTACGGGGTGTAAGTGGCAAGGTGTTGGTAGAGGGGGAGCTACAGGGACTGCCCCATGCCATCTCCATGATGGACAAACTGCTGGCCACAGCTGAGTCCAACAGCAGAGCTGGTGGCTCCTCTGGGGAATCTTATTTAAGAAAAGGCAAAAATGCCTTTGCAAAGGCAGAAGGGGAAAAGGAAAAAAGAAGTGAGGAACAGCAGTACAAACACCAAGGTCAGAGAACAAGGAGGAAGAGCAGGTGCTCCAGGTGCTGGAGCAGGCATTCACCTGCAGCCTGTGAAGAGTCTTTGGGTATATAAAACGGTATTTTTACTGACCTCACATTCGGACTAAATCTAACACTAGAAGACTGCTATGTGTTTCGTTACAACATCCTTTCTATGTCTTGTCTCAATATGCAAAAATTAAAACAATGAAGCACAAAGTTAATCTGGAGTCTTTAGACACCAG